GCCACTAGACCAGCTAGCCACAATAAGATTCATCCAACTAGGTATATTTCTACACCATAGGAAAGTTAGCACAGGGGACCCCCTGTGACCACAAAAGCCGTTTTTAAGACAATCTCCGCTAGCTGGCCGTGACGAACTCTAGCTCCCCCAAGTCCCCTTTAATGCCCCTCAACCCTGACTTTAAGAAAAAAGTAATGACCGATTGTGGCTAACTGGTCTAGTGGCTAACCGACGGGGTGGAGTTTTTAGACCTATGGTCCGCGGGTTCAATCCCGGGGGGGTATTGGGTTTTTTTGCAATCGTTTTCATTACATTTCTTTAGTCATGGTTTACGGCAGTGAAGGGGCTTGAGCAGAGTTTTTGTTTACGGCCCCCTTTGTGGGGAATTTTGCTGGAAAAACTTGCATTTGTGGTCCCCAGAGGTGCCTGTGCTAAAATTTCCTAGGGGGTTGAAAAAATTCCTAGGGTTTGGGTGAATCTTTTTGTGGCTGGGTGGTCTAGTGGCTAACGCGACGGGTGGGGTTTTTGAGGGCTTAAAGACCGCGGGTTCAATCCCCCCGGGGGTATGGTTTTTTTTCAATCGTTTTCATTTCGATTTTTTGAGTCCTTTTTGACGGCAGTGAAGGAACTTGGCTAGAGTTTTTACCGGGGCCCCCTAGTGGAGTTCCTCGTAAAAATTGAAATTTTTGGGTACAGAGGGGCCTGTGCTAACTTTCCTTTGGGGGTAGGAAAAAATACCAGTTGGATGAACTTATTGTGGCAAACGGTCTAGTGGCTAAAGCGGGCGGGCTGGAGTTTTGGGGGACAAATATGACCGCGGGTTCCCAAACCCCGGGGGGGGTTTTGGTTTAGTCAAATAAAGGGAAAAAATTGGGAAGCGATGTAGTGGAGGCAGGGTCCCAAAAAAAGCTTTAAAAAAGAGGTATGAAAAAGCCATGGTTCAGGGAGAGTGGCCCAGTTGCGACCAGTGAAGAGGCGAGGGGCCCGGGGGCTCGGGGCTCGGGCCCCCCTGCAACCCCCAAATAGGCGGGGTAAATACCCCACCACAAAAACACACCCCAGCAACCGGGGAAAAGGCGGGGGCCCGGAGCAAAGGGCTCGACCCCTGCAACCAAAAAAATAAGGGGATCCCAAAAAGGGGGAGTAACACACACACACACACACACCACACCACACAAACACACACACACCACACACACATTCAGGCCCTTTCTGGGGGTTTGCAGCAACCCGTTTGGAAAACCCCCACTTGAAAAAAGCACGTCAAGAAAATAAAAAAAGTACAAAGGTTTGCAAAAAAGGTTATTCCCCGGGCTTTGGGGAATGTCCTATGAAGAAAGATTAAGGGAAATCCCGGGCCCGACGAAACTGGAAAGGGCAGGAGGGTCAGGGGAGACATGATAACGACATTTTAAAAAAAAATACTGCTGGAATAGACAAGGTGGACAAGGGCAGGTTTTTCCAGGGGGGGGACACAGAAACAAGAGGCCAAATTGGAAGTTGAAACACAAAAGATCAGAGGTTTGTTTGGAAGTATTTTTCAGTCTTTGAGTTGTAAGGCGTGGAATAGCCAGAAAATGGGGGCGTTGTGGAGGCGGGAACCCTACACATTTTAAGACGAGGTTTTTATAAAACTCATGGAGCGGGGAGAGAAAAAGGGTCTATAGCAACCGGTGAAAAGGCGGGGGCCCGGAGCTAGGACCGACCCCTGCAAACCCCAAAAGGGGAGTACAAAAAAGGTGAGTACCCCACACCACACACACACTCTCACACTCTCACTCACACTCACACTCTCACTCACACACCCCACTCTCACCTCAAATCACCCCTCTCACTACACTCTTTACTCAAAACTTTTTCACTCACACTCCCCCCCCAAAACTCACACCTCACTCACAATCATCACACTCTCACTTTTCCCCCCCACTCCCCACTTTAAACACTCCACCCCTCACTCTCTTTACTTTACACCCTCTCACTCACACTCTCCACTCACAACACTCACTCTCACTCACACTCACACTCTCACTCACACTCCCCTCACACTCTCTCACTCTCAACCCCACTCCCACTCTAAAACTCACACTCTCACTCACTTTTCAATCCACTTCCCCACTCTCACCCTTCACCCAAAAATCACTCCCACCTAATCACTCTCACTCACAAATCTCACACTCCTTTAAATCTCACTCCACTTTTCATTTTCACTAACTTCCCCCATTTTTTTACTGAAAAAAACTTTGCCCGTGCCAGTTGGTTTTTATTTTTAGCACATGTTTTTTCCCCGCCCTATCTTTCCCCTCTGCTTTTGGACTTTTTGACTCAATGGGTTTTGGGACATTTTCGAATTCAGGTTTCACAGGGAACATAATAATTTATTAGAGGAAACTAAACAAAATGACAATTTAGTTGTTTCTGTAGGCACAGCAAATCCGGGCATAAAAAGGCCAAAAAACGGGAAGGGGTTTTGGGACTAATCTTAGTTAAAAAAAGAAAAAAA